TCTTAATTTAATATGATAATAAAAGCTCTTGACAATTTTCATTACGACTTGTTGATAGTTCTTGCGGTTCCGTAATAACAAACAGGTCGCAGAAAAAAATAAAGTTTTGTTTAAAGAAAATATTGAATGGTTTACAGCTGAAGATATTTTGATTGAATTTTTTAATTACTTTTAAACTCAATATTGGTTTATGAAAACACCAAAAAAAAAAAATTACTTTTTGAGATACAATTTGAATAATTTATTTTCAATCTTAATTTACCAACACATTATTACACGAACACGGCAATTTTTTCAAAATTGTATTCTTATCTATAACTTCATTGTCTTTTTAAATTTTATATTTAAAATGTATATACTATCATATTTTAATTGATTATTAGTTCAGAAATAAAAATATTTCATTGTAATTTTATATTATGTATTTTTTTTGCATAATTATTGCATGTTTTGCATGTTAAGATATATTTTCTATGCTATAAAACACAACTGAAATTATTATTTATATATATACACGTATATTAATTGAAAGATATTTTTTTGATTTTGCCAATTTTCCTTTAACATCATATTGATAAATCTATATCGATATTGAAATATCGATTAATGTATAGAAGAAAAAAAACATTTAGAATGTAAAGTTATATAAAATAGGTAATAATAATAGACTTAAAAGAGTAGTACGTTTTGTCGAAACGAAATTCGCATAAATAGTTTCATACCAAAACCCATACATTTTTCGGCATACAAACAGTTGTTCAAAAATATTCTGCAAGCGGATGTACCCAAGAGAGTGGTTTTGAAATCAGCATTGGTCCTCTGGGTAATTTTAATAAAACATTTCATTTTATCAGTAGAGCTTATTTCGGTGGTGGTTTTTTCTATTTGACCGTCATAATAATACTACAAAAAACGGAATGAAAATGTTTGGATATTTAACAGAAACATTTATGTATATAAAATATTATAATATTATACATGTAACACGTGGGATCTATAAATGGAAAACAAAACATTTTCACTGGTCCAATGACTGTTTTGTATCCTTAAATGGTTTTACGGTCCAAAATTGCACAGAGCCATTGTTGAACACGAGTGTCCGAAAATGTGTTATTAATTAATACTAGGTGTCACTCCGTTATTGTTAGCTTATTCCGTTTACTTTATAATAATTGCGCACATGTTAAATTCGTAGAAAATAGTTAAGTCTTGTAGATGTTATGGTTTTATTGAAAGAATTTCTAAATTTATCAGTTATATATACATAAATTAATATTTCTACGATGATCAATTATTAACGTAACAAACAATTACAAAATGTAAGGTGCCCCCCATATTTCCAATAATTTAATAACACCCGGACTACGATTGCGAATTTTTTATCTCCGATCAGAGATTTCAGTGTTTTAACTTTCCGTACAACTTAAGTGTCATATTTTTATTATTTTCCAAATTATTGTATTTTTATAATATATCACAATTTTGAACTTGTATATAAGTGAATAAATTAATATATCAAATAGTTTATCAATGTATTTAAGTATATAAAATATATCAATATTTTATTTAACAATGAAATATTAATTATTATTCAGTAAAAATTATAAAATGAAATTATACTTAAAATAAGAAAATTTACATTAAAAATTTCTATTTGTGACAATTAATTTTTAAATGTGTTAATAGTCAACAAAAGTTTTTGTTTTGTTTTTTTTTTAACAAAATTGATTTTGAGTTTAGAGTTTACTTACTTTAAATGAAGTACGAAGTTTTTTTTCGCAAGTGTACATTTTTTTTAAGCGCCATTTTGAATTTGAAACTGCAACTTTCATTTTTTAAAGCTAAAAGTAATAATAAATAAGTCATATGTGTTTATATTTATATATATCTATAGCAGTACAGTTATATCTATTTTTCTATTCCGAATCATCTTTTGCTTTATGAATTTCGATTATTTTTTTTCCTTTTAAAAAAATTAACGCATTTGTACAAAACAAATTCTAATTTTTAACTATTTACTATTTTTCATATTTCGTTGTATGTGAATATGCAACACAATGGTGATAAGTATACAAGCTATATCAATTTTAAGTCTGAGAGATGAGCAAGAATGCAAAACACATTCCATTATACCTCACCATATCCATTTCTATATTTTATTTTCATTTCTATATTCTCCTTTCTAAATATGCATGTAATTCATGAACCGTTTATTTCTTTAAATAGTAGAACATATTTCACTTTGAAAATATGTAGTCGTTCTTGAATATTCCGAAAAAATAATATGAAATTTCGGTTAAATCGACCCGACGATACTAAATAATATTTATATACTATTATGACATATAATCTAGAATGCAAAGAAATAAATAATCATGCAATTAAGAAAATAAACTGTCATTACATTTAAATTGTTGGAATAATGTCATCTGATAAAAATTTTAGTTTTATTATTATACGATAAAAAACAAAACAAGTGTCGTAAAACAATGGATTTAAATAAATAAAAAACTGTTTATTTTTAATATTTTATAATACATAGGAGTCAAAAAAATGTTATTAGTTTAAATTGAACTTAAATTTAAACATTTTTAATTAGTCAATAACATATCATTGAAAACCACTATACTACGAGGAAATTACTTCAGAAGACATGTTTTGTGTATGTAGAATTAAGTTTATATTAATAATTTTTCCTATAAATAATTGTAGATAGAAATAATATAAGGTGAATTGTTATTGTGTATTTCTGTATTTTTTTTTCTTAGTCGATTGGCCGTTAATATTTTAGTGGGTAGTATTCATACGTTATTTGAAAGGGGTCATATATTTATATATGTTTGCTATTGTTTGTTATTATTATTTTTTTTTTTTTTTTAATGCTATAAATTATACTAAGAATCAAATACAAATACGGAATAAAATTAGGAGTATGGCTAAACTCAAGTTTAGCCACTGCGTTTGGCTAATATCTAAATTTCGGACTTTATCCACCATTATCCAGATGCATATGGCTAATGTCTAAATAACATTATCCATACAAATAATTAAAAGTTTAAGTCATACAAAAATTCTTTCATTTCTTATCTTATTCAATAATATTTAATAATATCATAGATTATGGAATAATTTTAATAATAATATGGTAGAATTATTATTAAGAATTATTTAGTCAATGATAATATGTACCTATTTTTATTATATAGATTTACGGCCACTTTTCATGACAATGGTAATGTAATTCATGGATGACATGACTATTTTCACTCAATAGTCTGAAGGCAGTTGAATACTTTTCCCGAGAACAGTAGGACCCCTATCAATAGTTGATACCGAGATATATATTATGTTATCTAAAAATTTATATCTAAAAATTTTTCGACATTTTTATTTTTATATTTTTTAAATTCCATGAACTTATTATCGAATGCGATATTTTACAAAAATATTTTTCTGGTCTTGAAAATCAAAATTAACTTAATTGAGATAAACGAAAAAATAATACGTTAAATTCGAGTTAATTTGTAAGAAAATAAGTTAAGTTAATTTATTAGTAATGAAATAATTTAAGTTAATAAGTTAATTTAACTTAACTTTTACTTAATTTTTAACTTATTAACTTCCAGGCTTGAAAACAAGATATACCTACTAAGTACTACAAGTTAGTATCTTAACTACTTACAAACTTGAATCGGTAATTACTGTAGATTATTACAGACTGTCTTTAACGTGCACACAATATTGTATGCAACCACATACATATCAATTTTAATTTTAAAATAATATAAAAATACAAACTGTGTACAATATTTATATTATTGAAAATATTTTACTTACTACGTGCATGGCTCACCTCTATACAACTACCCAACAAATCAATATCCAATAAAAATTACAATTTCAAAATATTGTATTATTATTGTAAATAGTTTTATATTTTTAATTTACCTATGGCTAATGTTACTTAGACATTAGCCAATAACGGTGAGATAATGTTTATTTTATTGGCTAATGTTAAAATTGTCCATTTGTTATTGTTGGCTGAAGCCCGAAATTTTGACAAGAGCCAAAGACTTGTCTAAACTTATGATTAGCCGGCTAATCTTAATATTAGCCAACCTTCGGACACTAGCCGTAACATATATATATATATATATATATATCACATGTATAAATGAGAATAATATGATGATTGAAAAAGTGTGGGGTAGCTTTTCGATTTTTAGAGACTTTAAGTCGGGTGATTGCTAAAAAGAAGTTGCATGGAAATAGTTTAAAATACGCGTTGCATATGGTACAATGTTGCATACACAGAAAATGGTTTAGACAAGTTTCTAGAGACAGAGAACATGAGTGCATAGAGTGATTGCGACTTAGTGGTAAGTAATGCGGGATAGAGGACACAAATATTCTGCAACATACATTCGAATATAAGTAATTTGTGGATATCTTATTTTTCATTGTTATTTTTTTTCGTTTCGACTAGATATATTTTTAAGGGTGGGGGAGGGAGAGTTTGACCATAGTTTTTGAGATGATCGTTTCTCAACCACCCTCTTTTAATTATTATGAAAAGTTGTGTTGTAACTTTCTCGTGTTTAAGTTTTCACCAATAGTCGGAACGCTTCATTTCCACAGTCGAGGAGCACGCTAGGAATCGAATGGCGTTGGCGGCGACAAATTAGGGTTTTTTTTAATTGATTTAAACACATATCGCTACGTCTAAAAGCGTATGCGTAGACCTTGGGGCGTTATCATCCGCAGCATGCGGTATACACAAGATAATTGAAAGGCCATGTCTGCCGGCACAGCGTGTGATAACACGACCTCCCACTGACCGGTATTTTTTTTCTTTTCTCCCATGTCCATACGCACACACACGCACACACATATACTAGCACATAAATATACGTACACTATCGCATACACGCACGAGCATATACATAGATAATCACCCGTACGTGTGCACTCATATAGTAGCACTTGCCATAACTGGACGACGACAAACGATATCGTTTCGCGTACCGAGTGTGACGTTTGTGACGCGTGTAGTGCGTGTAGTGCGCTGGAGTTTTTTCAGCTTCATTGTGCGTGTCTCATTTTGGTCGCGCGCGTTTTCTCGAGTTCGAAGTCGACAATTTGGTTTTGTAATCGCGTTTGTGTTCCGTGTCGGACGAGTGAAAAGGATAGAGTGAGAGAGAGCGTGAGAGATAACCTAGACAATCATGGAGCCGCCAACGGGCGGTGGTGGAAACGGCGGTGGAGGCGGTTTCTTGTCCAACAGACGTATCAAGTTCACGGCCGTTTTCCCGATGATCGTAGGCACCCGGCGCACCATATCCAAGTCGGATTCATCTTCGTTGGCCAAGACCGGCAAAACGGACAAATCGGCCGGCGCGGCATCCGCTGTCACGCGGTGCAGCACCCCGGCAGCAGAACGTCCTCCGCTTGCCGTGTCCAGGAACAGGATGAGACGTGGTTCGAGTTTGACGGACTTGAACAGATCCGACTCGTTAGCAGGTACCTATTTCGACCCGCCGACGAGACCCCGCAGTTAACGATGATCGTTTCAATTTTACCGTGTTGTATCTTTTCCTTTTCCGCGTGGATTTAATTCTGAAACGTACCACGCAAAGGTAGATTGTGGTCGTAAAACCAATACGGCTACAAGTAATTGTACAAAAAGAACGAGGTATTTATGGAAATTCGATAGAATCTATACCTATCATATACTCTTGAAAGTATTAACTTTTATTTATATTCGATTCAAAAACATAATAAACATCGTAAACGTATTTAAAAAATATAGTCAACCAAGGAGTGGGTCACGGCTCTTTCAACGTCTTCTATAACTGCTACACATTTCTGTCTGAGGGTGTTCAGGTTTCATACGGGGCCTATCTTGAAACCATGCCCTTGAGCTACGTATGTATGTCTAGATTTCAAGAAGGCTTGAGAAATTCGATGCAATGCGTATGTCACGTTTGTTGGATTTTGGCTAGCAATCAAATTTTGTTAGTCCTTAATAACTTTTAGACTCATTGAGTCCAAGCAATTTATATATATTTTTCGATAGCATCGGCTTTTCAGACGAATCCATAAATTATTTCAATACATCCTTTTTCGTATTTTTATATTGCTGCCAAGCTTGTGGACTTGGATGAGCCATGTTTATGAATGAAAATTCATCGACACATTAATTAACTAAATTTTCAACATTTTCAAGCGTTTATGAATACACCATCTTCGTTCAATCCCACGTCAGTTTATTACAATTATATTGTATACTTTATGATTCACAATTTGAGACCACAATAGCGGTGTGAAATAAATAATTAATCAAATTCGAAAAAAATGAGTTTAATGAATTTCTTTAAAACGAATTTCGCGGTTGCAATGATTTTATATTTTTAAAATATTTTCAGAACTATATAAATTATCTTAGATAAAGTTAGTACTAAACAAACTAAACTATTTTGGTGAAGAATAAATATTTATGAAAATCGTAATAATCTAACTGTATTGAATTGCTTACATGTATATTAGTTCGTTTTATATTTTTGTTTGCGCATGATAAATTTTTAGTAAACTTTTAATGAATATTTATTTGAACAATTTCAAACTTCTGCGTAAACTCATATGAATGAAACTTAAGTTGACTAAAAATTATTTTCTGCTAAATGAATCGTTTTAATTTATTAAAAATTGTTTACTGTGACATTTAATATGTTTCTATATGACCAAACTCAAAATATTTTAAACGTAATCATCATTCGAAATTAACTTTGTTATTTCTGTTTACGATTTGTATCATATTTTAAAGTCTATCAAATGGATTGTACCACATAACGTAATACATTGATCGAATAAGAATTATGACTGCTATAAAATGAGTTACATGAGTTCATCAATACATAGTGTAAAAAAAGGTCAAAAACAATTTCATACAAACTATTCGTCGTATTCATCGTATTAAACACAAATATACCATTTAGTATCAATCGAATTTATTCTGGTCGATTTGTACAAAACTTTTTATTTTTTTTCGAACATATATATCTTCCATGATTATTATTAACGCTGCACACGGTATTCTATAACTTTCTGGATGTTTCATAAAGACTGTGTAATTGTTTTCGGTTGTGATTTCGCGCTATTTTAAGTTCAATGAGATTTTAGAACACGGTGTAGCTAAATTCTTAATCGGTATTTCTTCCGTACGCCAATGCAAGAGAAAAGAAATTAGATGAAAACTTTTTGTATATTCTTGTTATTAATTGCATTTTAAGTAATCACGTTTCCTAATCCACCTCATCGAGTATAATAAAAATAAGTATGAACATGGATATCATGCATAGTGCATACACATTATATATTATTATGTGTACGCGGAAAAGAACAACACGTTAAAATTGGTCGGTAGATGATCGAAATAAAAATATAATCCGTTCGAAATAAAAAAAAAAAAAAAAGTTCACGAATTATTTTTTAATCAAGTGATTTGTCTTACTCGTATACGCTGGTCTCGGAGGCGGCCGCGTGCATTCCAAGCGTTTACACGTTCTAGAATTAAAATTATTTTCCATCGATAACGTTGTTTTACAATACGTACCAACACCTCAGATGCGCTGGTCGTTCTCTCGTATCGAATAATGACGAACAAGTCAGACGAACACGCGTGAACGCAGGGCTCATACATTCTGATACTCGTTTGCCTAAATAAACGTGTCGAAAACCGTTTGAGCCTCGTCCGGCGGACACGGAGTATAAATTGCTAACATAACCTGTAAAAAGCAAAAAAAAAAAAAAAAAACCGCAGAAAAAAAATGGAACGTTATGTGCCCTCAAGGTTCGACTGGCAGTTTTGGCGACTTGATGAATCTGAAACGGTTCTACGACGACTCGTCCGTCGGCTCGGCCGAAAACCTGGTGGCCCGCGCCGTACCGCTGTCCACCGTGTTCTGTCGTCAGCACCACGCCGCCGGGTCCGAAGAGTTGGTGTCGGCCGAGCACGCGGTCGCCGCACCATATCACCACCGGTCTAGAATCGACATGCAACTGCAGCACAACCAAACGCAGCAACAGCAGGAGCAGCAGACACGTCGGTATGCGTGCGAGCTGCACGGCGGCGTCGTCGGAGCGATGCGCTCGACCAAGCCGCAGCACCAGTACCGCAACGACATGACCAGCCAGCAGCGTATCGAACGCATGTCCAGAATAATGAAGCAACAGAATCAGCGGCCCGAACAGATGACCCGGTTCCGGCACACCATGACTCTAGTAAGTCGCTGTCCCGTAAAACGCTACGCGCGTACGTGGCCGCCGATAACTTCTTGCGAACAGACGACGGCCGAAACGTTCGATCGCGAAACCGTCGTGAGCCCGTCCACCTCCCCACTCGTCTCCGTCACTCGAGCCCATTACAATCGTCATCGTGTGGCCCCGCACGTTGTTTCCCTTGTTGTGCTACTTAGCGTCCGATGTTTGAGTTTAGAGACGTTCTCGCAGAGAGGATAAGTGGTGGTGAACTCCACTCGTCCTTTGTCGCCAAAGCTATGTCTCCTCCCCTCTCTGCCGTCAACGATATAATTATACGAATAATACGTTTACGTCGTGCCCGGGCAGGAGGAAGTCCGTGAAACTCCCGTATCCCATGTTCGTTCTACGGACACGACAACGTCCCTTGGATATGTTATTAACTCGAGTGCACTACGCGCTCGCGTGGGCGTAAAGAACACGCGTACGCGCGCATTTGTCCGACGAATGGTTTATACGGTCTAATGTGTACTTACGACGGAAATCTTAAGTGCGTCTGGACATCTATCTACCTTTTCACCATACTAGTATACATTTATATATATATATAATTTGTATAAGTGTATGTGTAGGCTACAAATCTTGCGTTGTGTGTGCACCAACACGAAGGATAAACCCTTTAATGTGTGTGCACACGTACCTATGCGCCTTGTAAAATCATAACGTATATCATATCGATCATCCGAGTAGAAACTATAAGAATGGTGACGTTATTGAGTTACCACTGATGCGGTTACGGGGGGGTTTTTTTTTTTCGATATAATCATTTCACAGTTTGGACCTGGTTACCGTTTATCGAATGGTTTCCATACCAAATGGTTTCTGTCGCTTGTACGGTATATCCGTCGGGTGTCGTCATAGTCGTATTTTCGTTTATGTAATTGGCTCTTTACGACGCAGAAATATATTCTGCACAAATACCATGTTTAATGTACTACGTGGTTATCGCGGTACATCTGTACGTGCAAGGTTCTCTTTGACTAATACTTCGATCACTTATTTGCGACATTGCTTGAAATGAAGTTGTGAAAAAATATGATTCCATGCTTGTTCGGTGCAAAGAATTTGTCGTTCAAACAACACCTATTGGATCGTAATACTAAAAGAACATTTACGTGAGTTTTTTTAAAACGTAAACATACTTAAGCCATACACACACACACACACACATATATATATAAACATACATTTAAGAGGAAACGATTAAAATTAAGTTTGTAGAATTATTTAGTGATTATTAATTTGTTACCAACATTATTATCGTTGATATTAATAAATGTTTCGAAAGAATAATTGTACGCTTTCGTGTTCTTGACTTTTTTTTATTTGTCAAATTAATATTAAAACTAAAGATAAATTTCATTAAAAAGAAACGGTATTATTTAATTTAAAAAAAAAAACATTAAAAGCACAAAGGTTTTTTTAAAAATGAGATTTTAACGCAAAAAAATAAAAATAAAATAAAACATTTCTTTCAAGTGTCGTTTAGTAGTAAGTAAACAATTAAACAACTACTTAACAATTATTTCTAAAGTGAGGTGGGTGTCTACGTTTTTGGTTAGTTAATGAATCTATTTAAAAACAGTTTTAACTAAAACCTTTCAATTAAATATATTATTATTATTATTATTATTTATTTTTAAACAATAGTCAATTTTGTACAATAGCAGAATCAATTCACTGAATAATGTAGGTAATTACTACATTAACGAAATAATTCCTTGTAAAAATGCTCAGGCAAATATTTAGTTCTTAAAATCTCTATGCCTACTTAATGAGTTAATAAAATATAATAAAACTATAAAAAAAAATAATATATTTGGCTTAATATCATTAATATCTTTAATATTTATAAAATTCTATGAGAATTACCGACGGGCATTAGTAAATGTTAAAATGTAAAAATAACATTATTTTTTTTAACTCTTTAATTCATAAAATATTAAAATTATTTGAATTATATATCCTATATTTTTTAATATAACGAAAAAGATAAGCTTTCTTTGATTGTCAAGTATATAAACCTTCATAATAATTTTGAGGTAAGTCATTTTAAAAGATAACAGACCTTTTGATGGATTAAAATATGTTTTATTATAAGAATACAAATACTTGGAAAATTTCTTTACCAAATATGATTAAAGTTGACGTATTCTTTTTTTTTTTTAATGTATTTTTAAAGTTATATTATGTTAAAATATTAAAAATATAAAGTTTTATAATAGAAAATGCATGGTGAATTGATTAGAACATTTAAATCGTTTGAAAAATTTCATTTTATAAGCAAATATAGTTTATATAGTTGTAAAATGGCAAAAAGAAGTATGGAATATAAAAATTAAAAAACAATGCGCAATTTAAATTAAGAGATGATTATTTTTTAAGTAGCAAAATAAAATATATTTTAAACGAGATTGCCGTCAATTTCATAGTACATTGCTAATGTTCTTGGAAACTATTTTAGTATTTTAAAAATGATCTGTCTCATTATTTTCTATGTTAACATAATAATGTACCCGTATAATGGTGATGTATGAGCATTTTGAGAAACTTCTCTTTATTACTACTTTCCTACCCCCTCCCCTCGATTAACTAAAAAAATAAAAAAATAATTATGGACAATCAATAGATCGCTTGGTTTAGAATAAAAAAATATTTTACCATCGTATTCAATGTACAGATTATTTTTCTTTAAATGTTTTATTGTATAAAACGGATATAGTTATCGCTTATCATCAACTTCTATCGTACACGAACTCATACTCTATATACTTTGTATACTATATGTATATTCTACTTGTACTCTGTTTAAAGTGTGCAACGGATAGTTTACCTAATTTCAGCCAAAATATCTAAAGAGCTGTTGTTAACAGAAAATGTACTCGTATGTTTCATGCGTGTTTAGTTTACGCTTTGTAAACTCTTTTAGTAATTATTCTAAATAGATGACTTAAATAAATAATGTACCTATGTATTATACATTTAACATACGCATATGATTCAAATTTAAAAACATATATTTTACATTTTTGAAAATAATTAATTTATATAATCATACGGTTTGAATGTTTAAATTTGGTTTTTTTAGAAGAAAAACATTACAAAAACATGCAAAACTAACTATTAATATATTTACTATAATGTATCAAGTATTTTTGTAACTTTTTTTTTTTTTACGATCTCCTTAAAGATTATTAGCCCAGTTTTGTATTCATTCACGTTTGTCAATCAATATTTGACTATGCAATATATTTATTACTTAACTTAAAATGTGTTCTCCAGAAAATAATTGCAAGTGCTTCAATTTAATATCAATATATTCATCCTTAGATTTTAAGGTTTGTTTAATTTAATTTATAAAACATTCTTTGTATACATAGTGTAGAATCTTCGGATACCGGTGTAACATTATGGAATGGGTATATACGAATATTACATCTGATACAGATAGAAACTGAATACCTGTATATTTATTGAATATTTTCACCCCCGATTCGAAGATAAATAGTTTTTGTTCTATATAAACTTGTAAATATAAATAGTTAACGAAATAATATAATTAAATACCCAGCTGTTAATCGTCGTACTCTATTTAATTATTATTTTGCTATAATATTTTATTGTGTTTATAATTTATTTTATAATATTTATTATAATGTAAAATCAGATTTTATTGAAAAAAAAAGGAAATATCCAAAATAAGGTTAGGTTATTTGTAACTGAAAAGTTTTTAAAATAACTACGAAAGTTAGTATTAGAAAATTCGTTTAGTTTAAATGCCATTTTATTTTCAAAAAATTGCACCGCAATGAAAGCCTATTTTCTAAACAATTTAATTAAAATGAATAATAATAATATTAATAGAAATAATTTGTAACGAAGTAACAGTGATTGGCAATTGTAAAAAAATACCCTGGAAAACTTCACAATATGTATCGTACTTGTCAAGAACAATAACATAGTCATGGTAGCAGAATAAACACACACGAACTTACAAACACGCAAACAACACACGTGAACTAACTTTATGGATTGAATTCCCTCCCACCTCGGCTATACCTATAAGCCACTGTCGATAAACACAATACTTATGTATAGGGAGCCAAATAAAACGTTATCAATTCTCGTTATCAAATGTAAGTGAAAGTTTTTATTTACTAAAATGTTTTCAACCAAGAACCGTGCCTTGTGATAAATGAGATATTATTACAACTCGGCTTGAAATTATATACTCAATCAACCCGTTGCCGCCCCGTATAGTTTTATTATTTTTGATATGAAAAATTATATTATTTGTTCAATAATAATTTTTCCATTGTGCACATTATCCATTCATCATCTATGGATATTTTTTCGATTAATACCAGCTATGTCAGTTGACCAAAAGTTCTCATGTTGTATTAAATATAATTCTCCAACTCTCTCAATTTATATAACCAACGATGTTTGAAAAAAAAAACGTCTCTAATTATTGCCGATCCATTTAACACGTTTATTTCGAAATAAATTTGGCACGATTTCAATACATAATTTTACAGATTGTATATATTTCGATTTCTATAAACTTCTTTCAGTGGCAAGATAAGTAAAATATTTCTGTTTTTCCTGTTTTGCATTTTCTGCTGAGTTATTTTGAATGGTTCCACAAACTTTGCAATGGGATGTAAATTATTTCGATAAAAACCATTCATATTTACGGTTATAGGCATATATTAATATCATGTTTGTGATGAAATGATGTATTAATATTAGTGATCACTTCGTTAAGTAGAAACATTCAACAAAACTTTAATTTACAGTAAAGTTAAACGTAAACATTTAAATAATTTAAATGCGTTTTGCCAAAACTCTATTATTAATAACAACTTGCAAGTTAATGGATTATTCTAAGCACCAAGTTGGATAATAGTTGGGATCGTAATCCCGGCAATATAAAGTCACCAATTTTAGTTAATAATTCGTGG